TTTCGTACAGATACCCTAGATTGAATTGTCCATTGGTATTTCCACCTTCGGCGGATCGTAAATACCACTGAAATGATTCCTCGTCATCTTTTACGGTCCCGATTCCATTTTGATAACAATATCCGATATTACACTGTGCCAAGTTATTTCCACTTTCAGCAGACCTCAAATACCAATAAAAAGCTTTTTCCTCATTTTTGATAGTTCCGATTCCATTTTGGTAGCAATAACCGACGTTACATTGACCATCACGATTTCCACCTTCTGCTGACTTCAAATACCATCGAAATGCTTTTTCATAATTTGGTGTGGTCCCGATTCCATTTTGATAGCAACATCCAAGCATATTCTGTCCGTTGCTATCTCCACCTTTGGCTGATTTCTGGTACCAATAAAATCCTTGGTGTTCATCTCTCGCAGTCCCGATTCCATTTTGGTAACAATATCCCACTTTACGCTGCCCGGGACTGTATCCACCTTTAGCGGATTTCAAATACCAATGAAATGCTTGCTTGCTATCTTTCATTGTTCCAATTCCATGTTCATAATAACACGCAAGGTTAAATTGACCAACTTCATTTCCGCATTTTGCTGATTTCTGATTCCATAGGAATGCTTTGTCATTATCCTTTTCGGTACCGATGCTAAAATAATAACATTCTCCAACCTTAAATTGACCATCAGTATTACCGCCTTCAGCAGATTTCAAATACCAGCTGAAGGCTTTCTCAAAATTATCCATGACCCTACTGTTTTCAGAATTTCCTTCAGGATATTTCATTTTATCATTCGTAACTCCAATTCCATTTTCATAACAATACCCCAGATTAAATTGACCATCGGCGTTTTTTCCTTCGGCTGATTTCAAGAAACATTCGAATGCCTTTTCTCCATCCTTGGATGTTCCGATTCCACATTTATAACAACAACCAAGCATATTTTGTCCATTGCTGTCGCCACCTTCGGATGATTTTAGGTACCATTCAAACGCTTTCTCAACATCTTTTATGGTTCCAATTCCATTTTGATAGAAATAACCAACTCTATACTGTCCTTGATGGTTTCCACCCTCTGCGGATTTTAAATACCACCGAAATGATTGGTTAATGTCTTTCATAGTCCCAATTCCATTTTGATAAAAATATCCAAGTTTATTTTGCCCATCGGGATCTCCACCTTCGGCCGACTTGTGGTACCAGAGAAATGCATTTTCATTACTTTTGACGGTTCCGATCCCGTCTTCATAACAAATTCCGATATGGTATTGTCCACAATTATTGCCGCCCTCTCCAGATTCAAGGAACCATTGAAATGCTTTGGCGTCATCTCTGGTAATTCCAATTCCATTTCGATAACAACGTCCGATATTAAGTTGTCCCACGTGGTTTCCGCCATTTGCAGAATTCAAGTAGTACTGGAACGCTCGTTTATAATCTATTATTGTTCCAATCCCATGTTCGTAGCAGTATCCGAGATTTGCCATCCCAAGATAGTTTCCATTTTCCGCGGATTTAGAATACCAATAAAACGCCTTTTCGTTATCTTTTGCGGTTCCAACTCCATGCTGATAACACCACCCAAGATTGCATTGCCCTTTGCCATCACCATACTGTGCTGATTTCAAGTACCAATGAAATGTCTTTCCGTCGTCTTTCACCGTTCCAATTCCTTCTAAACAAAAAGTTCCGAGAATAGTCTGTCCAAAACGATTTCCATTTTCAGCGGATTTCAAGTACGATCGAAATGATTTATCGTAATCTAATGTAGTTCCTATTCCATATTGATAATAATACCCAAGGTTATACTGCCCTAAATGGTTGTTAGCTTCAGCTGATTTCGAATAACATTCAAATGCTTTTTCGTCATCCCTTGCAACGCCAATCCCGTTTCGATAACAATATCCGAGCTTATTTTGTGCGATACTATCACCATTTTTTGTCCCTTTCAAATACCAATGAAATGCTTTCCGATCATCCTTTGTGGTTCCAATCCCGTTTTGATAAAAATATCCAATCCTGTGTATCGCATGCCGATTTCCGCCTTCAGAAGATTTTAGATACCACTGAAGTGATTTTTCGAAATCCTTTTCCGTTCCAATTCCATGCTCATAACAGTATCCGGTCTTAAATTGACCGATAATACTTCCATTCTCCGCGGATTTTAAATACCATTTAAACGCTTTCTTGTGGTTTTTTGAAGTACCAAATCCATTTTGATAGCAATACCCAAGGCCCCATTGCCCATTAAAATCCCCTCCTTCGGCAGATTTTGTATACCATTTAAATGCTTCTTTTTCATCTTTTACCGTCCCGATCCCGTTCAGATAACAACATCCAAGGCGATGTTGCCCTAGATGATTCCCACCTTTTGCTGATCTTAAATACCAAGAAAACGCTTGTTTGTCATCCTTTGCGGTTCCGATTCCTTTTTGATAGCAGTAGCCAAGATTGCTCTGCTCTAGATGATTACCGCTTTCAGCTGATGTTAAGTATCGTTCAAAATTTTTCTCATTGTCCTCTGAGTTTATTTCGGAATCACTCTCCACCTCTTCTTTCGCGTCGCATTGGCATTCATTAGATTCGACTAATTCTTCACTGTCACCTTTTCCAAATCGGTAATATTTACTATGCTCCATGGTTAGTTGTACTCATTGAAGATAGAGAAAAGCACATAGTAAACATTTCATTCGTTATGTTTTTTATAAAAAGTCGAATTGTAAGTGAGTTTAAGTCGAATTTGTAATTTAGGTAATTTATATACTGTATAATTTAGAATAACACGCGTTGTTCGGGGTAATACGGACTTACAGTTGAAACCCCCGATCATCAGTTTCTCTTTAAGCAATGAGTCTCTTTGTGAAACCAGTACGTGTGAATTAAGCCGAGTACAGTAATCCGATACTACGTATGAATCACATATCTATGCTTATCTTGCAAAATGGTGGTGACTAAATTAGACATCATGTCGTAGTTACTTTACCTATGCATACCTTATTTAACCTGAAAACGATTACACAATTTTTAGGTTTAAAACTATAAAATTAAAGAACATTCTCGCTTATACATAAATAGTACCTGATTTTAAATATACTAATCACAAACATAAATGAATATGCATATATGGTATATGTTAGGCATCACTTTAAAAATAATAACAATAATAACTTTATAAAATTTCATACAATAAAAAATATGATTTCGGTTAGCATTAATTTATTTTTAAAAATCAGTTACGGATTGTTCATTTAATCGCACCAATGGAATGGAGTCGGTCGCGATTCACTATCCAAAGCGCATCAAGGTTTATCAAACGGTATTTAAATTGTAAATTAAATAATAATATTTTTTTATTTTATTATGCCATTTATTTTTTCAATTTCAAGATGAATCGGTCGCCAATTAAATACTTTATACAAAATTGATTCCAATTATTGAATTAATTAAAATATATATTTATTTTTTATATAGAATTATTTGTAATAAAAAATAATAAATAAATAAATAAATATTACAAATTAATTTTTTTTTAAAAAAAAATTATTATTATTATTATTATCAATTTCATTTATATTTCCAATCAATTTCATATCGAAAGTATATACAGGTATTTAAAAAAAAAAATTCTAAATTTAAAAAGAATGAAAATTAAACAAAAAATTCGATTGTTTATATGATAAGAATTTTTAAAAAATTTTAATATTATGTAAACCGACATTTTAAATAATTATTTGATGTTTTGGAAAAATTTAATAATTATTTAATCATCTGTCACGTGTATATTTTATAGATTTTATTTTTTTAGAATTTATTTTTTTTTTTTTAATTGATAAATTAATAGAATTATTTTTATATATTATATATCATTTGTAAAATTGATAAAAAATTTGATTTATAATATTTAAAATAAATTCATGGTTATTAATAAACTATTAAATATTTTAAAAAATTGGTTTTCTAAATAAAAAGATTTATTATAAAAGTTGATGAGATTGCAATGACACAAAAATATTGGATAATATGATAAACAAAAAATTTTTGTAAAATAGGTGCGAAAAAAAATTTTTTTTTCAAGTGCAAAACAATGTATTGAATTAAGAATTTTTAATTCAATTAATTGTCTTCATATTTGATTAACAAAAAATTAATCAAGTATAAACAAAATAATAATTGTCCTATTTAAATACAGACAATAACTTTTTTAATTAATTAATAACTTTTTTCGATTTCTTTTTGCTATAACAATAATTATCTTGATAAGATATTTTTGATCTTGCAAGGAATAGTATAAAGTAGGGTTTTTACTGCAAGTGCATTTTAATCTTCGTTAACACAAATTGATAGATATTCAAATATATACATAATAGAATAAACTTGATCGATCAATATAAAAAAAACTTTTTAATATTGAATCTAAAATAAGGAATATGCAGCTTTTTAAATGGTTGTTTGAAATCCCGTCTGGACAAATCTGATATAATATACAAATAAGAAAAGAATAAAAAAAATCTTATTAGGAGACAATCAAATTCTTCGTGCTTTCAATTTTATATAGAAATAAATGGACTGCATATCTTTTCAAACTTATATAATATTAGAATGATAGAGTATCAGCTCAGAATTCTTATTATTCATATACTGTACTGTATATGCACAATTGATAAAAAGATTAATGGAACAAATTAACTTGATTTGAATATATTATATTGTCAAAGTAAAGGTAAAAGCAAGGCTATTTATTTACCAATGAAAAACCTAAGGTGAATTTAAACGTGCTAACACGTAATAATGCCGTGATATTTTTTAAAAATGGATTAACTCTAAATATAGGACAAGCTTCTTTCTAAGTACAGTAAACTAGTTTAAAATCTTAGTCGACAACTGTTCTTTTAGATTCACACAAATTACAAAAAAGCATGGTTAATAAAAGAAAAGAAAATTTAAGAAACAAAGTTCGGTAATATAATATCCTTAAGTCGATAAATAATGAAGGCAAATATTTAATTAAAATTTAAAGAAATGGCACTTGACTTCTAGTTCAATTTCGATCGACTTTAATTCAGACAAATCACACTTATCATCGCCGAGTTCAATTGTCCAATGACTAAATGGCGTCGGAGCAAAATAAACTGATTCATCGAATACTGCATCTGTCAATGGTTTGTCTTCTTCGTTTATTTTATATCTAAACCTCAGTTTTCCTGTATTCTCTGCTTCAAATACATATTTGTTGCCTTCATAATCCTTGTCGTAAAAAATGTCTGTGTTGCTGATCCAGAAACTAATTTTATCATTCCCATTTTCATTTCCAATCCCTCTCAAGAATACCCTAAATGTGTGAAGTCTAACACGTTCACTGTTCTTAAATTCCTCGTGATCTAATGGAATCTCGTATGTAACAGATTTATTAACTTTAAATTTCTCGACAAGCTCTTTAGGAAGGATAAACGGATGCTTTGAAGATTGTATAGGATTTCGATATTTGCTGTAGGTATCTTCTAGGTCTTTATAAATATCTAATTGATCCTTCTTGTGTTCGGAAATAGTTTTCATAACTGAAAGCGTAATTTTGGACTCAGAAAGCGACCAATAGTGATATGCACAACGATATTTTTCCAAATATGCCATCATCCAACACTTGATATTGATAAGCTTTTCAAATAAAAATAGCCCAATATTTTCGTAATCATCTTCTTTTAATTCACGTCTATTAATCGCGTTCTGAAGTCCCTTTTCTTGACTTTCAGATGTTTGTACTTGTAATTCGATTTTGAATTTCTCGTTATCACTTTCGCGCTCTTCGATATTAGCTTTAATAAATGATTCGATAAAAATAAAAAGTTCGTCTAATCTATTTAAATATTCATTTGCTCCTTTAATTTTTTGTTCGATCGGCTAGTAAAATAACACATAATTAGAAAGCACGACGTAATATATGTATAAAGAAGGATTGATAAATATATTTACGTATTTAAGCAAATCCTCCACGCTTTTCTTTATTAATCTCCATTCGACTTTTGTCAAAATTCCCCTTTGATCCATATCCTTGAGGCTGCAAGATTTATCAATCTATTAAGACTTTCTCGTTTTGTAAGGTGACGTATGCTGCAAACAAATGATGACCTACCGTTCTGCAAACTCATCAGCGTCTAAAGATTCGATTTTTTTGCGTCTCTCTTCATCCTTATCATTCAGAGATTTGTAATCTTCATAATTTTTTTCCAATTGGTTTTTAATAACATTTATTTCATTGGCTTTATTTCCCACATCCACAACATTTTTGACATTTTCATCATCTTTTATATCGCCTAGAGTTTTAATTAGCTTTTCCATATTATCGGCAGCAATCAAAGCTTCTTGTATTGATTTGCATGTCTTTTCAATATTTTCGACAAAAGCAGCGATGCCACCAGGTTGAATGACAACTTTGCCAACGCTTATAGCCAATTCAAAGACGGCAATGACCATTTTTGTGCGTGCTTCAAGTTCTTTATTCTCCTTCCACTCTTCGATTCCTATGCGGAATTCGTCTGATGCCTTTAATACTGCATCTTTTTTATCCTATATAATTAAAAAAAAATTTTTATTATGAAAATAATAATTCGTTTTTACAATTAATCATATAGAACGTGTTTAAATTACCATTAACTTTTTTTTCATTGTTTCCATTATAACATGTGCTTTTTTATAACGGTCATCTGCTCTATCTTTTAAACGTCTGTACATATCGGTCATTTTACAACAATCTTCAAGTAATCTAGTGAACTCTGCTTGTTTTTCTAAATTTTCATGTTTATTGCCCATAATTCGGTAATATTCTTTTCCGTATGATTCCGCAACTACTTCGAACTCATTAACATAATTTTTGTAGAAGTCCACGTTAAGTAATGGAACGAATAGTATTTTGTTTTTTTCTCTTTCCTCTAGAATATTTAGCTGCTTAAGTAATAGATGTGCCTGATTATACATCTCTCTTACTTTCTTATGCGACTCCGATTCATCATCTGTCTCTTTTGTCTCCTCTTTCATCTCTCCAATTTCCGATTTGGTTATTTCAACTATCCAAGTGAGAATTGATTTTGTAACATTACGGTCGTCATAAAATAATGCACTGGCAATTTGCAGCGAATATCTCAGTATTTTGACGAAAGGTTCTTTTTCAAGAATTATACTATCAAATGTAGGGATATCTATGAACTCGCCGATAGGTAGGGAAAGCAATCGACCTTTGTATTCTTCGCGAATTTTAAATTCGAATTGACGATCATCACTTGTAACGATATCAAACTTCGATGGCATTTCCATAGCATATGCCACCAATCGAAAGGTCTTATTTTCTTTGCAGTCAATAATAATTTTGCATCCTGGTTTGATTTCGATTCTCCTTGCAGCTATCAATATGACGCTACCATTTTCCAAAGTCGGAAGTTTTAGGTCATCCGAAAGCTGAACTACGTCGCCGTAAATACGTATGATTCGAGCTTTTGTTTTACTGGCTTCACTCTTCAAATATTCATCAAGCGTCTCGGGTTTTTTAGTGTCTTTATTCTCAAAATATTTATCAAGTGTCTCAAGTTTTTTAAGGTCAACAACCAGATCGCTTTCTAAAATCTTTTTATAGGGAAATAAAATATATCAGTTATACACATTTGATGAAAATAAAATCTGTATGTATTTTAGAGTATCATACTTGTACAGGCGTCCGCAACGATTCTGTCTTAAACTCTATTTTAAAAAACCCTAGCACTTTTTCATATAACTTTTTCCATTCGCCAATGCCATTTGATTCTTCTAATTTATATTCTTCAGACATTGTAACCTTTGAGATAATTTTGATGATGGATGCGTTAACACTTTCACACCTTTTATGCTAATAAGTAAAAAAGGTTATTTGTCCTACTTATTGATGTGGGTGCATACCCTCTTTTATAACCAGGCATAAACGCCATGATGTGCATAATCTATTTAAATACTGCGCAGTTGATTGTACAACGCGAAATACAAAATTTATTATCCAATCCAGTCCCGATATGTCTGATATTCTTCCCGTGTGAACAATATGTATACAATACAAGCGGGATCAAAGACTAATTGTGATTGGTATAATAGAAAACGTCTCGGTAGGGGTATGGTGTATTTTCCCATCGAAATTAATACAGTATTATCACTTTTTACAGTACAGTGAAAGTAATGAGTAATAAAGCTTGATTTAATTTGATCTTATGATTAACTATTTATTTTATTTAAAGAGCAAGTGTACACTGTCTCCCAAAAAGAACACAACACCTCATCGAAGATCTTTAATTGTTAGAATTTTAAGTAGATTAGATCTGATTATAATGAAATTTATAGCAATAGATAGTATATAAGGTTACATAATTAATGTATAAATTAAAATAAATATTAAATTAATAAAAAAAATTTTTTTATGATAAATTTTTAAAAATTTACTGTTGCATTATTTTTGGAATTTTTTAAAAATTAAAAATTTTTTTTTGTTTTTCAATATATATACACAGTATATATACAAATGTATTTATCAACATCTTATATAATCATCCTTAACTTAATAATATCATTAATTCTTTTAAACATTGTTTTTATATGTTCCTTACAAGTTTGTTCAGATATTTTATTTCAAATATTTACTAAATTATTTCAAAAAATTTCTTTATCCTTAATATTAATCTCTAAACTATTAACTCTATTTTTTACATTATTTCAGATATTTTCTATTGAATTTAAATCTGAAGATTTTGATGATCAAGAAATAGTTCTAATTTTATTATTTTTTAGTCATCTTTGAACTATTTTTATCTTATGTTTAGAATTATTATCATATTAAAATATAATATTTTTAGGAGCAAAATTATAATATCTTAATAAATATATTGTTTCTTCTTTTAAAATTTATCTATAAACTCAACATTAAAATTTCTCTCAATTTTTGATAAACATTCTGTATTATAAGTAAACATCTTCACATAATGATATTATCTTTATTAAATTTAGTTATAAAAATTATATGTTGATTCTTTAAAGATTCTGCAAATTTTCTCTAGTAATATTTACATTATTCAACTTCAAAAAATTGAAATTTAGTTTCATCAAATCAAACTAAAATCAAATTATCATACTTCAATCCTCTATAATCTAAATTTAATACATATTGTATTTACAAATTATAATTAAATTTTTTATATTTCTTAAAATATATACAATATATGCTTTAAATCTATTTTTCTTAAGAATTCTTTGAATTATATTAATACTAATATTTATTTTTTCATATTTTATTAAGAATCTATATATATTTATAACTGTTCTATATTCTTCTTTTAGAATTTTCAAATAATAATACATTCTTCATGCAAAGTAAATTTGGAAAAATGATTAGGAATAATTTTATTTTCTAATTTATTTATTCTAAAATATTTTTTAAAAAATCTAAACATGATGAAATAATGAACATTGTTATCAAATTTGATAACAACCTGATGTAGATTATAACCTTCTTCTAATAAGGTAGTAGCTTTTAATCCTTTCTCTATAGATAGTTATCTTCAAAACATTTAATTTATATGAAGTTTAAATAGATTTTTGCATTTTTCTATTTTTACAAAAATTGCCAAAAGTTATTAAAAACGATATACTGTATATACTATTAATTTCGTCATTATTTGATCTAATTTAAGTGATCAAAGATCTACGATTAGGTGTTATGTTCTTTTTGGGAGACGGTGTAAAATCTATTATTTTTTTCGCATTGAGATTGAATGACAGGCGATATTTTCGTTTGTTTTTTTTTATCCGTATTAAGGTTTATAAGATTTTAAAAATTAAAATATTCGAAACTTTGTTAATAAAAGTGATTGTGATCTAAAACTCAAAATATTGTATAAAAAAATTGGATGAAAAGATTTTTAATTAAAAAATAATTCAGCAAACAAACACGATAAATGAATAATTGACTCTTTCGAATTGTAATTACCTTTTCAAACTCTTTATTTTAGTTAATGAGAAACGTTAATCTTATAAAAAATAAAATTGTTGTTACGGGAAGAAACAATTAGTCGTCAGTGCGCAAGCCTCACCCATAGTATATTAAGAATAATGAAAATAATATGCATAATTAGTATATTTGGAATAATTATTAATCTCATGTAACAAAAAGGCATTCATCCAAAAGTATAAATAAAGTTTATGCTTGCTTTTCCCATAAAATCTCGTTTTTTCTTCCTTCTCTTGTTTCGCGATCGTCATCCCGTTACCTGACAGTGGTACATTCGAACGACTTACCTGGCCTAGCGGCAAATCTGCATATAAGTGAGATAATTATCTGCGGCGTGACCTATCGCGGTACGGCACTTGAAGAACGACAGACTCACTGTAGTGCCCCGCGACAATATACTGTATATGTATACATTAATAATTAATTATCAAAATCCTGTTTTTTCAAATAAACTAAATGTACGTACAGTATAACAGCATGTACTGTACGACAATAAAAAACGAACACGGCATACAGTATATTGTATAAGGCACTTAGTTACAGCATCAAATACTGTATTGATTGAAACGAAATATTTTTACTTTTGTCAAAATTTACCACAATATAATTAATGTCATTCGAGTACTATAAAAAATTAGCCGATATTGGATATTCTGATAGCGCATATCAGGTTGGCTATTGTTATCATAATGGAATTGGGGTTAAGAAGGATGAACATAAAGCATTCGAATATTATCAAATGTCTGCCAAGATGGGACATATAAAAGGAACAAATTCTGTTGGCTATTGTTATCATAATGGATTAGGAATCGAAAAGGATGAACATAAGGCATTCGAATATTATCAAAAATCAGCCGATATGAGTGGTGCAGAGGGAACAAATAATGTTGGCCTCTGTTATCACAATGGAATTGGAGTTGAGAAGGATAAACATAAGGCATTCGAATATTATCAAAAATCAGCCGAGATGGGTAATGTAATGGGAAAATTTAACGTTGGCTATTGTTATCGCTATGGAATTGGAGTTAAAAAGGATGAACATAAGGCATTCGAATATTATCAAATGTCTGCCAAGATGGGTTATATAAAAGGAACAAATTCTGTTGGCTATTGTTATCATAATGGATTAGGAATCGAAAAGGATGAGCATAAGGCATTCGAATATTATCAAAAATCAGCCGAGATGGGTAGTGCAGAGGGAGCAAATAATGTTGGCCTCTGTTATTATAATGGAATTGGAGTTGAGAAGGATGAACATAAGGCATTCGAATATTATCAAAAATCAGCCAATATGGGTAATGTAATGGGAACATTTAACGTTGGCTATTGTTATGAACATGGAAGTGGAATTAAAAGGAATGAACAGAAGGCATTCAGTTATTATCTAAAATCAGCCGAAATGGGGGGCTCTGATGGTATATATCAGGTTGGCTGTTGTTATGAATTTGGAATTGGAATTAAAAAGGATGAACGCAAAGCATTCAGTTATTATCAAAAATCAGCCAAGATGGGAGATTCCGATAGCCTGTATCGGATTGGCTATTGCTATCTGAATGGAATAGGGGTTGAAAAGGCTAAGTATAAGGGATTCAGATATTATCAAAAATCAGCCGAAAAGGGTAATTCTGATGGTATACGTGAGATTGGTTATTGTTATGAACATGGAATTGTTGCTAAAAAGAATGAACAGAAGGCATTCAAATATTGTCAAAAATCAGCAGAGATGGGTAATGCAAAGGGGGTGTATAAGATGGGCATTTATTATGAAAATGGAATTGGAGTCAAAAAGGATGAACATAAGGCATTCGAATATTATCTAAAATCAGCTGAGATGAGTCATGTAGGTGGAATGTTTGCGGTTGCTGGATTTTATAGAAACGGAATAGGAGTTACGCGGAACTTACAAATGTCTACATACTGGTTTCAAAAGTAAGTATATTATTTAAATATTATTGATGCAACAGATTAACAATGATTTGTAAATAATTAGGGAAAGAAAGCAATTGTTAGGTAAATATAGTAACATTTCTATTTTATATTTGATCTTTTCTATTTAAAATCTAATTCATTACCTATTTAGCTTCAAATGAGTCGAAGTTTAATGACGCTGATATTGATGATGAAATTAAAAAAATGCTTGCCGAAAGCAAGTATCCGTTACTTTGGATTCCTTATGAAGATTTTGAAAACATTGAAAAGAGAGGGCAGGGAGGATTTGCAACCGTGTTTTGTGCCGAATGGAATTATAGATGTGTTGCACTTAAATTACTCCATGGATCAAGATACAATCATAAGATGTTTATAAAAGAGGTAATTTTGTTTGAGTTTAATAAGTTTTAACATTAACTTTTTTAACTTTTTTTTTTTTGCATTATAGCTAAAAGCATATTGCGATATTGGTTATAAAAATCCCACATTTTTAAAATGCTATGGTGTGTCTAGAGATGACATTTCCAAAGATTACATTCTTATTATGGATTATGCACCGATGGGTTCTTTGCGTGATAACCTTTATTCAGTAGCTCATACTAAATGGAAAGATAGGTTAAAATTGTTAATTTGTATTGCTTATGATCTTCAAATAATTCATTCACAAAATATAATTCATCGAGATTTACATAGCGGTAATATACTACTAGATAATTTATATAGTGCATATATTGCAGATTTAGGTCTTTCAATGTCAACTGACACAGAATCTGATGGAGTTTATGGAGTTTTGCCATATATAGCGCCTGAACTTTTTTGCGGAAAACAATACACCATAGAATCAGATACTTACTCATTTGGCATAATTATGT